TGATGTTATGCCTGAGTGGAACTGTGACATAATTTTGTTCTTCTGATGTAGTGATTCTTGGAGTTCTATAAGGGGAGACATTTACCATTTTAATTTGATTATTTACATTCATGAATCTTTCTTTATGCAGATGGCAAATACACCCCTTCATGTTGCTGCTGGTCATAACAGTGTTGAAGTAGTTAAGTTCCTCTTGAACATGGCAGGACCTGAAACAGTTGAGTTGGAAGCAAAAAACATGGTGTGTAAAATCTTTATCGGATTTGATTATTCATATACTCTGCCTATGATTTTCACTTCAAAAATGGAAACTTATTGTCTTGCTATATTTGACTTTGCAGTATGGAGAAACACCATTACACATGGCTGCTAAAAACGGTTGCAATGAAGCTGCAGGACTTCTTCTTTCTCATGGAGCTTCTACCGAAGCTAAAGCAAATGTATGTACTTTGTTTCTATCATTTATTGAGAGTTACAATTTTAATATAATCTAAGCTTGATAAAAAAATAAAAATTAATCTTTATCATCCATATGCAGAATGGAATGACTCCATTGCACCTTTCTGTTTGGCACTCACTCAGAGCAGAGGACAGCTCAACTGTGAAGACATTGCTTGAACATAACGCTGACTGCAGTGCCAAAGATAATGTACCACTCACAGTCTGACAACTTTTTTTTTATCTGTTAGAACAGGACATGACATGACAGAATGGTTGTACATTGTCTGACTTGTACTGTGTTTGACATGCATGAGACAAATCTGTACTTTTTATTTTTTACTTTTTGTTATCTGTAAGACATGACATGACATTACAGGAAGGTATGACTCCTTTGAATCATTTGTCACAAGGACCAGGAAACGAGAAGCTACAAGCACTTCTGAAATCTTACCTTGAAGAACAAAGAAAACGAAGAGCTGTTGAAGCATGCAGTCAAACAAAAGCAAAAATGGATGAACTTGAAAATGAATTATCAAATTTAGTGGGGCTTCATGAGCTTAAATTACAACTTAGAAAATGGGCTAAAGGGATGCTTTTAGATGAAAGGCGAAGAGCCCTTGGTTTAAAAGTTGGGACCCGTAGACCACCTCATATGGCCTTCCTTGGTAATCCAGGAACAGGTAAAATTACTTATATACCATTTTGTAGTTTGGGATTGTGGGGACGAAATTGTAATTTCTAAATTGTATTGTATATAGGTAAAACTATGGTAGCTCGGATTCTTGGAAAGTTACTTTTTATGGTTGGGATTTTACCAACGGATAAGGTGACAGAGGTGCAAAGAACAGATTTGGTTGGTGAATTTGTTGGTCATACCGGACCTAAGACAAGGAGAGTGGTAAGTGATTCTTGTTCCAAATTGTGATTTTCTTGGATCTTGATTCGTGGTCGTTGTGTGAAAAAGACCAAATTACCCTTGATGGGAATTACTGATCTTTTTGCACTTGTAAAAAGTCCAATTTACCCTCATGCGAAAAAAAGGGAGCAATTTACCCTCGTGTGAAAAGACCAAATTATATAGTTTTTTTTTTCTCAGATGTGAAAAGACTAGAATTACCCTTGTGTGAAAAAGACCAAATTACCCTTGATGGGAACTGCAGATCTTTCCGCACATGTGAAAAAGACCCATTTACCCTTGTGCGAAAAAAGACCAAATTACACAGATTTCTTCTCAGCTGTGAAAAGACTAGAATTACCCTCGTGTGAAAAAGACCAAATTACCCTTGAAGGGAATTACTGATCTTTTTACACATGTAAAAAGACCAATTTACCCTCATGCGAAAAAAAGACCAAATTATCCTTGTGCAAACAAACCAAATTACACAGATTTCTTCTCGGATGTTAAAAGACTAGAATTACGCTTGTGTGAAAAAGACCAAATTACCCTTGATGGGGACCGCGGATCATTCCACACATGAGACACAATTACCCTTATGTGAAAAAAGACCAAATTACACTTGATGGTACTATGGATATTTTTGCACATTTGAAAAGAAAAAGTTACCTGTGTATAAAAAGACCAAATTACCCTTGTGCGAAAAAGACCAAATTATCCTCAATGGGAACTATGGATCTTTTCGCACATGTGAAAAGACCAAACAGAAAACCTTGTGTTGGAAGACCAAATCAACCTTGTGTGAAAAAGACAAAACCACCCCTTGTGTGAAAAGACCAAATTACCCTTGAACCAGGTATTCAAAAGAACTGCTTTTTAAACCAAAAATAAAATAAAATTGCAGATAAAGGAAGCGGAAGGCGGGATCTTGTTTGTGGATGAAGCATACCGATTAATCCCCATGCAAAAATCAGACGATAAAGACTACGGATTAGAAGCCCTTGAAGAAATCATGTCAGTTATGGACACTGGCAAAGTAGTAGTCATCTTTGCAGGATACAGTGAGCCAATGAAGCGTGTAATTTCTTCAAACGAAGGTTTTTGTAGACGTGTGACAAAATTCTTCACTTTTGATGACTTTACAACCCAAGATTTAGCCAATATTGTTCATCTAAAAATGAAAAACAACAATCAAACGGAAGGAAGCATATTATATGGATTCAAGTTGCATCCTTCATGTACAGTTAAAACTTTAGCAAATCTAATAGAGACTGAAACAAGTGAGAAACAAAGAAAGGAGATGAATGGAGGTTTGGTGGATCCTTTGTTGGTTAATGCTCGTGAAAATCTTGATTTGAGGCTTAGTTTTGACTGTATGGATACAGACGAGTTGTTGACTATCACTTTAGAGGATTTACAAGGTGGGCTTAGGTTGTTTTCGCGATGAATGAAAGGTGTTGTGTTGTTGGGGGTATTTTGGTACTTTTTCGATCTTTATGATTGAATAATTGGTTATGGTTTTATATTATATGTAGAAAGGGGTAGGAGATGGAGTTGAGAAGATGGAATTTTGGATTGGGGTAAGAATTTGGTTGTAATTTTTTTTTGTTTGTGTAAAATTTATATTGGATTGATAAATTGGTGGATGCAATCATATATATATATATGGTTGCTATTGTTTTGAAATTTTAATTAAGAAATTGCTCTTGTTAAGTCTAATATTTTTTAAGCAGTGTTTTGAAAGCTGTATATGTGGTGTTTGTTTTGGGTTAAAACAAAAAGCTCAAAAAACAAAAGCTACTTCAAGTAGTGTTTACAAGTTATAATTTTGCAAATCCACTTAATTACCATTTTTCATATACAATTTTAAAACATGATAATACTAATATTAAAATATTTGGTTTATTTTAAATTTTTTTAAGTTCAAACATTTTAGTTATCATCGTACAACGAATGATAAGGCAAATGGGCAACAAGTTGTATCCCTAAGTCATTTTGTATGGTAAAGCCAATTCTTTTGAAGACTACATCCATAGATCTAGAGATATAACATTGTTATGCATGATCTGTTGTATTCTATTAAGAAGCTCCACCGCATCCGGCGCAAGGAAACCAAACGTATCAAATGCAAATGGTATGAACGCATGTTGATTTTCTATTCATGGTTTCTCATGTTTGGTGACGTTGCATGTAGCAGCTTTTAATGCAGCCTGTCCCGCCGTGAAACCCCCGACCCTCAAACTTATGAGAGGGGATACCCCTGTAAGGTCCACACATGCGTGTTTCCCTCCAACCCATCCAAAAATCAAAACGTCGGCCGGTCTAAGGGTTGACCTTCCTTCTGTCGGGTCAGTCAGGAAATTCACAGGAGCCACTTTCTTGGCGGAGACCCCGCCACGCTTACATATGTCGACCAAAACATCCCTAACTATATCGTGTCTGTATTTGAACCCCGTGAGTTCTTTGCAATGAACCGCATGCTCACCGAAAGAGTCCAAACATACCTTGCGGCACACCGGACAAATCCAATCGGCTGAGAATATTGGAATCATGAGTCGATATTTGAGGAAGGTACAATACTCCACAGGAGACATATGTTGGCCAAGCCCATGTATGGGGATAGCTAGAAGAAAATCTTGAGCATGTGGTGCACGTAAACACTGGAAAACTGCTTTCCGTCGAGCCGTCATATTGAGATTCACTTCCATATCTTGGACAATTTTACTAAAAAGGGCACTCGCCAGTGTATTCTGGGATTTAGGGGGCGATGTCCTTAGTAGTAAAACTGCTAAGGTCAATGTCTGGAAGCTTGTTACGAAGAGAATCTAAGGCACCAGCATAATCAGAATCCATACCATAAATGCCGCTATCCCGCAAGATGTGGTCTTGCAATACCCAAGATTGGGCCCTTGAGGCAACAAACGCATATGAGGTAGCCTCTACTGCCAAGTATAAACCCAAACCACCAAACCGTATGGGTAGGGAATCAAGTCGCCAAAGAAGGGGCCACCATAAACCACAATGTCCTCAATCGCCCCGTGTAACCCATTATCGAAGAACAACGCCGCCTCCTCCATGTGAACGGGTTGGCACGTCCTCAGCCCAAAGAAAAGTTTAGCAATACCCATACAAGACCGAAGTAGAAGGAGCTGACTCTGCGGGTCAGAAAATTGTGGAAGAAGGCGCATCAAATTCACAGTGCTTTGAGCTCTCATATACAAATAAAAGCTACAACCAACAATTTCTAGCTTTCAACAAGTTTTATGTCTTTAGTGTTTGATACTTTTGGGTAAACTTTAGTTAAACTAGATTTATTGAATATTAGGTAGCCTCTACTGCCAAGTATAAACCCAAACCACCAAACCGTATGGGTAGGGAAGCAAGTCGCCACTGTAAGTCGCCAAAGAAGGGGCCACCATAAACCACAATGTCCTCAATCGCCCAGTGTAACCCATTATCGAAGAACAACGCCGCCTCCTCCATGTGAACGGGTTGGCACGTCCTCAGCCCAAAGAAAAGTTTAGCAATACTCATACAAGACCGAAGTAGAAGGAGCTGACTCTTTGGGTAAGACAATTGTGGAAGAAGGCGCATCAAATTCACAGCGCTTTGAGCTTTCATATACAAATAAAAGCTACAACTAACAATTTCTAGCTTCCAACAAGTTTTATGTCTTTAGTGTTCGATACTTTTGGGAAAACTTTGGTTAAACTAGATTTATTGAATATTAGGTGTAAGACCCATATACTACACGAGTTCATTTAAAATATATATATATATATATATATATATATATATATATATATATATATATATATAATTCTAAACATTTGTGAAGTTTGAATTTATAAGCAAAATATTGAAATATTAAAATTAAAATGTTTTTTCTCTTTTAAATTTAAACAATCAATTTAGTTAAATAAACAGAAAAACTAATGCGACTTTAATTTAGAAAATTTGAAATTAGAAGGAAAGTCAATTAATAAAATTGAAATGCATTTATTATTATTACATTTAAATATTATATAAACAGAAAAACTAATGCGACTTTAATTTAGAAAATTTGAAATTAGAAGGAAAGTCAATTAATAAAATTGAAATGCATTTATTATTATTACATTTAAATATTATATGAAATTTAAAAAAATAGAAAAAACCATAAAATGACATGTGGAAAAAAACTAATTTAAAATAACTACAAAATGACATGTGACAAAATGAATGAGAGTATGGCATTCGACAAAAAAGATAATTATTTATTAGAGTAAGACGGTTTGCGTAAATATTTTTTAGATTTTGTTTTTAATTAAACTTGTGTAATGAAAAACAGCTTTGATAAATATTCCAAGCACCCAATTCAAAATTTTATCATAAAAATTCATCAAATTATCGAATGTAAATGAGCATGGGGCTTGAATCAAGTTTATTGTACTTAGTAATAAAAGGTTACTTAGATAAGGATAATTGTATGCAAGTTTCTTTCAACAACGACGCTTTGGCCGAGTGGTTAAGGCGTGTGCCTGCTAAGTACATGGGGTTTCCCCGCGAGAGTTCGAATCTCTCAGGCGTCGTTTTCTTTTTTCATTCACGGAACCAACAATTTTATATATATTATATGTTTTTTTAGTCATATTATATGATAAATCATATGAATTAATAAAGAAATATTATTCAATATTTAAATATAGGTTTTGGAGGGTAGTTGAAAAGAGTAAATGTCAGAGGAGGTTAAGTGGCTGTGTCTATATTTGGAAAGTATGCAGAGCCAGCATGCTCTACTATTGTGGAGGCGCTTTACAGTTTCTCTGCACCTGCAACCCCACCCATAATATATAATATATACTATTTACTATTTACTTTTCCTTTGGATTCTCTTTCATATTGTGTCAATATAACATTTTTAATAGATAACAAAATAAAAATAATAAAACATAGACCGATTGATAACATGTTAAAAAATAACTTTATATTAAAATCATGTGTTTTTCACCCCTAGTTAGTTACCTTCTCGAAGTAAGTACACGTGGATTTTTCCTGTAATAAGGTACATGACATAGTTAAATGGATTTATATCAAACTCTTTTGTAGAGTAAGCAGCACATATGGATCGAAAACCCAACGAACCCAAACCAATATAGTACCGAACTTCGGGTCAAGCAGATCCATGTCTTCCTGCGAGCTGCAACCCCTTGACTCTTGAGTATCAAGATATGACACTTTTAGTCCTTCATCTTCTATATTCTTCCAAAACGAGCTACCTGTCTCCAGCCCAACAATAATTTAGCCCATCAGCTTTAGCCCACTTACCACTTACACATTAAATGTTACTGCAACACATTTAAACCAGCAATTAACCTAACTAGCATCACAAATTTAAACAATTGAACAAGGTTGAGATTGCTTTAACTTTTTTGTACACTCTCATTAATGTACATCACCACACCATTTAGATGGTGTTCATGTGGCTTAGTCAGCAACAACTCATGACGTGGTGTCATGGTATGCATATTGAACAACCTTATATGTGGGAATAACCTTATTTTATTATTTTATTAATATTTACCATATGTCTCATTAAATATTCAAAAGCAATGAGAAGTGTTGAAGAATTATCCAAAACGAAAAAAAAAAAATACCCACGTCAAACACAAACGGATTTTTTTAACATACATAAAATAAATAATGTGCAGGTCGATCACTTTCTACCTGGATGTACAAATGTTGATGTACTACGTACAACTGGTTAAAGGTACACTTCATGTTTGTTGAATTATGGACAAAATGTTCAGAAGGGAACAGCAAAAAAGGAAACTCAACAAACGTTTTAATACAAACTTAATAAATAATAAAATCAACCTTTTTTTCTTAGTATATATACTTTTTAATTTGTAAACGTTTTAATATAAAAAATAAAGACTTTCTACATATTTAAACTATTTAATTCCAGTATTCTACTATTCTTCATCTTCACAAACTCTCTAAAAATGGAGAATCGCTTCAAATCACAGGTCTCTAAAATCTTTCAATCTACTTTCAATTCTTGCCGGCCGAAAAACAACTCCGACGTCTCCGACCGCCACTTATCCTTCCTGAAAACGCCCCACCACCGCCGCCTCATCGACCTTTTCTCACCAAAACCACAACCACTTTCTTCAACCTCCTCTAACCTCAAACCCCATCTTTCCCGGCTCGGAACCACACCTTATCCGGGGAACACAGACCGGCATACACCACATTCCGTTTCTCCTCTTCACGAAAAAACATCCAAAAGAGGACGTAAAAAGAAACCTCATCACCGGAAAAGAAGAAACATTGCAAGTTTTTCGTCACTCACAGATAACTATTACAATAATTGGTGGAGTAGCGACGAAGGTGATAAAAGCAACGGTGAAAACAGTCTGTTTTCCCGTCGGTCTTTCTCTTCTGAATCATTGGAATCACTTCGTAAAACCAGAGGTAAAAGGAGCGGTAGCGGCGTCGGTGGGTGTAAGGATCGGGGAGCGACGGATGTGGTGGCAGTGGCGAAAGAATCGAGTGATCCGCATGAAGATTTTAGGGCTTCAATGGTGGATATGATTGTGGAAAGGGGAATTTTTAGAGTTGAAGAACTTGAAAAGTTGGTGGAATGTTTTCTTTCGTTAAATTCTGAAGAGAATCACAAGGTTATTTTTGAGGTTTTTGCAGAGATTTGGGAGACTTTGATTTCTAAATCTGATTTGTGCAAGAATGACTGAGTTTTCAAACCATTGTAGTTGTAAATTTAATTACGAAAAGAAGGACTAAAGTTTCTGAAAGATAACTATGGTGATTATTGTAATTATGGTCTCGTTGTAAACTGATAATCATGTCTGTTGAAATACAAAATTAAATACTAGAACTCATGACAATTACTTATCCAAAATATGTTTTCTTTTAAAGTTGTTTAAGATCGAGATCTTAGTTATTACTGTTTTAAGATGTGGGAAGAATGAAGATGTGATAGTAGGATCAGGATTGTAATATACTAACAAAATCATTTGTCTCCAAATCTGTAAGTTTTTTTTTTCATTAGTATTAGTGTTCTTAAGATAACGTTGATATCAACTTTATAAATTATAACTTAGTTATCACGTTACAACAAAAGAAGTACGACAAAAGAAGGACTCAATCGACTTTAAGTTTTCAATGCCTATGAACACACCAATTGAATGAAAAAACAACTATACTATCTAAAATCATTCTTTTATAATTTTACGAGAGCCAAAATCCAAAAGGTTTTGACACTTAATGTTCCACCAAGTAATCATCACAATTGCCTCCAAAACTGTTTTTTGTTAAATTCTGAAGAGAATCACAAGGTTATTTACAGATCCAACAATCTTCGACCAAACACCATTAGTTTTTAACTGTTCTCCATTCAAGCCTAGACCACTCAAAATCCCATGTACAACTTGAATCAGGTTCAACCACAATGCTTAGGGTTATTAACAAACCTCCATTGCCATTTTTGTAACAAAGCACCATTAAATTGCCACTAAACTACGCATCCCAATTTCGTCTTTTTCTATCGACACAAGTATTGCCTCCCACTTGTCTAAGGCCGACTCCAATGGATCTCTAAAACACTATTTTAGAGGCCAATTTTACTCCAATCAACCATCAAAACTCACACCATTTTTGTGTTGCCTCCTTTTTAACACCAAAAATAGAGGCCAAATATAAAAGTCTCTAAAAATCACCATTTTAAAGGTTGGCTCGAATGAAATTATTAAAATGGTGTTAAATAATCACCATTCTATACAAAAAACATAATTGTTCTTAAACAGAACATAAAACACCAATAAAACTCCCACTAAAACAAATTATCACACCAATGTGTGTAGTATGCTCATGAAAGACCATGGGAGGTAATCCCTTCGTGAGCGGATCTGCTATATGGAGTTTGTCTAAATGTGTTTTATAAATATTTGTCCATTTGCACTGTTTTGTTAACAACCAGAAAATTAATGTCAATATGTTTTGACTTAGTAGAACTTTTGATGTTGTTGGAATATAATATTGCTAACTTCTTCTCACAAATTTAGTGGTATTTCAATACCAATAATACGCGGCCTCATGACAAAATTATGCAACAATATTCCATGATTTGATGCCTCATAGCATGCTACAAATTATGTTGCCATTATGGAAGAAGCTACCGAAGTCTATTCTATGAAATGGCTCATCATGCTAACATGTAAAAGTATTCCGATATGGATCGGTAACCATTTTGGCATCTAATAAAATCATATTCCTAATACAAACGATCTCCAAAACATTTGATTTCCTGTAGTTGAGCATATAGCCTTTTGTTCTCTATAGATATCTCAAAACCCATTTGGATGTTTCTCAATGATCCATAATTGGGTTGCTTAGATATATGTCCAACATCCATATAATATATGGAAATATACATACCGAACATACATTAGATTCCCAACAAAGAAAATGTAAGGAATCTTCTACATCTCTCTAACTTTAATGTTAAATTTAGGGATTTGATTGAAACTAAATATGTCTCTTTTAGCAACAAGGGTGTCACATGGTTTGTAGTTTGCATGTAAAATCTTGCAAGTATCTTTATCGATGTAGCTCTTTTGTAACAATCTTAGAATTCCATGAGATTTGTCTCGTTGAATCTGAATTCATAATACAAAAGAGGCTTCCCCAAGATCTTTCATTTCAAAATACTATGAAAGAAATAAATCATCAAAATATAAAACCAAAGAGATATATTTACTCCTACAAAATTTGTGATACACTGTAACACCCGCAGATTCGGGCTAGTCAACTAAGATATAATAAGCGTTAAAAATGATTTTTTTATATAGATGATTATCTAGGATAAATAATCTTAACCAAAGTAATAGTTAGGTTAAACAATTATAACCTATTTGATGTAATAAAGAAAAATTATTTTGAATCCTATATGTTTCATGATTATTATAATATAATAAAATAGGAAAAATCAGTCGAATCGTCCGTAAATTGTAAAAATAAGTGCGCCAAAACATATATATTATTATATATTTAGAAAGTACATGTCGCCCCGATCCTGAAAATATAAATTTCGTCGAAATCCGAATCCGTATGAATTAAATATGATTTTTATAAGATATAAAAGTCAGCCGCGCACAAAGAATGTGTGACGTAAAAAGCTACAAAGAGAATGGTTGACTTTTAGCTAACGTCACCAAAACAAAAGTCGTAGTACTCCTTAAAATAGGAATTTTGAGAAAAAAATGCCAAAAACGGAGTCCGTGTGAGAGAGTTGTGATTTTAGCAAAATTATTTAATTTTATAAAAATATGGACGAAAAATAAAGTCAAAATTAGCCGACAGAGTCTAAACGAAAGTTGTAGATCTCGTCAATAGCTACGCGTGGATATAAAGAACGTAAAAAACGGAGTTCGTATGAATGAATTATAAAATATAATAGCATATTTACGTATTAAAATAAAGTATAAATCATATATACGTATATATATATATATATATATATATATATATATATCATTAGAAAGGTATCGACGATGCGGTCGTTATAAGACTAGTGTTGAGTACTTTCGACATTAGTTTAGTACAAATATCGTTAAATCTATTTAAAATAATATTATAAAGGGGTGTTTAGTCGTTTATATAACTAGAAGGTCATTAAGTAACTATAGAGGGTAATTTTTGAAAATTCAATTATTATAAATAAGAGCCTCTAGACTCTCATATTTTTTGCACCATTCTCTTGATTTAAGAGTCTTTCTCTTCTTATCCCTTGAGCATTTCGGTCCCTCGTGATTCGACTTCTCTTTCTGTAGTTTTAGTATATTAAGGTGAGCGTTGAAGTGCTGCAAGAATCTTTCTTAGACAGATTCAACAACGAAGTTCTGCCCCTGTAGAGCCCGACTCTTAGCTAAAACCCCATTGTAAGTAAGTTATGCTTACCCTACTTCAAGTATAGCTTATGTTTAAACTTAGTATCGTTATTATGAACTTATAATAAATATATGGGCTAGTATTATGACTTATATAAATGTCGTTATAATGTCTTTTTAACTACTCGCGGAATCAAATAGTATATTGGCAGACAATCCATTTACAAGAAAGGTACCTGAAGCGACGTCTGCTGCCTCCTTCGCAGCCTCGAGCGTCATCTGGAAGGATCTCGCCTTCGGCTTCGGTGGAATGTTGGGTCTTCCTGCCTCCTTCTTCTTCGGGCAGTCCCTCGAAATGTGCCCCTCCTCGTTGCACTCATAACAGACCTTCTTAGTGAACGTGCATTCGTTGGCATAGTGCCCAGGTTTTCCACATTTGAAACAAGTGACTCCTCCGTCACATTTCCCCTGGTGCTTCTTCTTGCACTTGTCGCACCATTTGGCTTCACCTCCTCCAGACTTCTGCGTACCAGACCTTGAGAACTTGCTTTTCTTGCTGAATTTCGATGACCCATCAAATTTCCTTTTCTCTCCCACCTCCGCTCTCTCCAGACCCTTCTCTCGTATCTGGGTCTCCACATTCTTAGCAGCCCAGATGGCGGCTTTCAGAGTGGTTGTTTGATTGACCATTGGACCGAATTCCGCTGGTAATCCGAGGGAAAACTTGTTAACCTTGGAGAGTTCAGTTGGGACGAGGTGAGGAACAAGCTTCATTTTCTCTGTAAAGCTTGCAGCGTATTCAGTAACGCTCATTCTTCCCTTCTTCAGATTCTGGAACTCGTTGTTGATCTCCAGAAGATCCTGCTCAGAGCAGTATTGCATCTTTAACTGCACTAGAAAATCCTCCCACGACATCTTGCTCGCTTCTCCTTTGGGCATTGAATCAGCTAGTAGCTTCCATCTTGATCTATACACCGAATAAGGTGAATTTAGATCTTTATTTAGGATTGACGTTTAAATCATCATTATCACTCCGAAACGTTTACATGTTAGTTCTAATATCGTAGTCGTACGTTTAGAATCCTAAACACATAAGGTTTCCAGATCCGGTCGGCAACAGACCATAGATCCGAACAAATAATAGCACATAAGGAAAACATAAAACATTTAGCACATAAAAGCATTTTAGGCATCTTTCCTAAAATAAACTAGTGCTTGTGTCTAAAATATGGAAGACACTCATCTCACGATCATCGCTTAGCATTCTAAATTTAAGTCTAGAAATCCTACAAATTCCTAGTTCGCTTAAACTAATGCTCTGATACCAACTGTGACATCCCCATTTTCATGGCCAGAAAAGATCGATTTTGTTTATGCTTGTTTGAAAATCAGAGTAACATTTTACATAAGTGTTGCGGAATTTGTTCCCAAAACAAAATATGATATAAATTTTATCAAAGCATTTCTTAAAGAAATGTATTTCCATTACATTACAAAAACTCGGGATGTCAATCATCGATACAGATCATAAGCATAAACTAAAAAGAAATAAACATCTTAGGCCACAAAAGACTATCTGGCCTCAAATCGGTAATCTCTCGTCAAATTATCCAACTATGTTTTTGCCACTACCTGTAATACAAGAAACTGAGTGGGTCAGGCTGGGGAGCCTGGTGAGCATATAGGGTTTTCAACCCATAATAATAAGTTCATTATTTATTTTCATCAAATTCCTACCCCGATTACCTGTTCCCGTTATCCCCACTTTACGTCCCTAGAGCATCTATTATAAGGGACCTATCCTAAGGAATTTCATCGGGATGGACACTACTGCTAAAGGGGTTCCT